ATATATATATATATATATATATATATATATATATATATATATATATGAATAGGCATCATCCCAAATACATAGCACACATCTAATCCCACACAGGCCTACTAGGTCCTCTAGCACAAGGTAATGCAGAAATTGATCAATTATTGATTGGAAATATGCTGAAGGCCTCAGAATTTCATACAAAAATCATGTCAATAGCAAAGGTTTAAAAAAGGACTTTTTCATTACAGGGCAAGAAGTGAAGAAGAGTATACTTCGTTCTTTATACAACCAAACACCACTACCTGCAGGAAGTAACCCAAATGATAGTCAGTCAATGTGTTCTATTTCATAGAATTTGGAAAACTAAAATATGGACACCACACCATTGATATCTATTCAAGTTTTCAATAGGCAACTGCTTTGAGTTCGGGAAAGGTTGATTCAGTAATAACATATTTACTAGAAGTTATGTCCATCATGGGTATACCTGCACAAAAAAAGACAGACAATGCTCCAGTGTATATCTCTAAAAAAAATGAAATAGTTTTTTGCTTAGTTTGTGTGCATTCCACATAATCCCACAGGACAGGCAGTATAGAAAGATCAAATTGAACTCTAAAGGATATGCTAAATAAACAGAAAGATATGAAAAATAGCCCCAGAAATAGATTGTATGATGTTTTATTAACTTTTAATTTTCTAAATTCTAATAAGAAAGTAATAACAGCTGTGGAGAGACATTGGATAGTAGAAAAACTATGGAATTAAATCAGTCGATATACTTTAAAGATGTACTGACCTCAGAATAAAAACCAGTACATGTGTTACACTGGGGAAGGAATTTTGCTTTTATTTCCACAGGAGAAGAAAAGCTATGGTTATCATTAAAATTGATAAAGATTTGATTTGAATAAAAGACACCTCTTAATTAGAAGAGAGTTCATCAAACATCATGGCTTTTTAATCTGAACTAACCTATAAAACTAACAAATGCTTTCATTTGATCAGATATAACTTGCCAAAAATGAATCTCCCCAAAATTAGGGTTGGGGAAGGGTTTTGTTTCTGTTTTTCAGGAGAATAAAGGTATCCAGACAAGGAATCTGTAGCCTACAGGACAAATGAGACATCTGAAGAAAAAAATAAATCATCCAGAAAAAATGTCTCAAAAAGAGAGTAAATTGGCTTATCAGTATATCACATTTCCAACATGGTAAAATTTCATAGATTTTCACAAATTTTTGTTTCTGCTGTACTAA